GGTTTATGTTCATTAGAAAGTTTTTATTTACCATCTTCCTTTTATTAGAACTCATTTCTAGCTTAGCATATAATAATTACCCTATTTTAAAAAAGTAAAACAGATTCCTCTAAACATTTTCCCACAATTTAGATGTTTTATGGTCACATTGGCACTCTTTCTTTTGAATTAATAAGGTTCTGTTTTACCAACACTTTCATACTGAATTCATTGGGGGATAAAAAGGCACACAAAAGAAAATTTGATGCACAAATTTTGCTAACAATGTCTCTTACATATGTTACTGAAATGGCAAAAATCTGCACTCTTGTCTGACCCATTTGTTCCAGAAGGAAATCTGTAAAATAATTAAACTGAGTTGCGAAAGATAGGTCAAGTTAAAACAAACAAAGTACTTTTGCCATCATTTTCGGGAAAAGACCTTTAGGAGAAAGTGAGAACACTCAAAAATCATAGATAACATTTGTATTTGAAGTGAAGGAAATTTTTTGCTTGTATTATGAGTCAATATTAATAAATGGCATTTACAAACCACCAGCATGTTTCTCTGATAGAAAATACTTAAAAACATGATGGATCTCAAAGATTCTTGATAGAACGGAAGTTCAACAGTTTACAAATTCTCAACTGTGTTTAACTAAAAACTAAACAGGCTCAAAGATGGATTCTTCTCTACATTTTAAAATGTTGACCTTTGGAGGAGTCTTTGGTTTTTATACAAATTCTCTACCTCTAAAAGAGGAGAATCCAGGTCTAGCAGAAACTGTGGTGGTTACATACCTTCCTGCTAATGCTACCTCAATTCGACCCTCAAGATATTGTTTGCAGCATTTTTCTTACTTCCCAGGAATAGGTCTAGTGATGAAGAAGAAAGGTCATAAAAGTTAGTTTACCATCTTAACAAGACCTACAAACTCCATTGCATTTTACCCTGTGCTATATGAGATTCAGACATGGAGAACATGTTCCCAACCTTCGAAGAACTTATCCAAATAATGACAACACAGTAGCTACCAATTATTAGCTCCATGTCACAAGTAGTGTGATAGTTAACTTACACAAACTGTCTCTAATCTTCACAACCATTCTGAAGGGTGTTATGACCTCTCGTGACCAGTGAAGAAACTGAGGCTCAGAGAAATATAGTGATATGCCTCAGGAAATGCATCTAGTAACTTGCAGAGATGGGAATTTGCTTGTGTTGGGAATCAGTAGGAAAAAGAAGGGAGAGATACGAAGCCCTACTGAAGTCTTACGCTCTCTTTGACACCATCTCCAGCTATTTTGTCTGTGATTGATTCTCCATATGATAAACTCTTCAAGAATATATAGCCTGGCCCACACATTTTTTGATTCTTTATTAGATACTCCTGTACATTCCAGGTGATGGTTCAAAGGTCTGAGATGGGGATAGGTTTGACACAAGAGAAGCACTAGTATGACTTTTCATCTGATTCTTCATTCCTCACAGGGTGCTGGGTTGAGACCGGCTGGAGAGGCAACCAGGCAGACAGCAGATTGGGGAGATTACTGGAAAGGCGGGGGTAAGAGAAGGTAAGAGCCTGGAGAAAAACTGCATAAACCATGCCCTAGGGAACACAGTGGTTCAAATCCAAGAGTGGATGATTTTCTGTTTAAATCCCAAATGGTAACTGAAGAACGATCAAGAAGAACCGTATTGCTCAAACTATTCTTGTGAATCACCAGTGGAGTGCGTTGGGATAGCACATCCCAAAAGGCCACTGCAAATTCCTATCTCAGTAATGGAATAGGGGAGGATTTCTGAGAAGAGAATGTGGAGAAAGTGGAAAATAATAAGGCCAAAAGAGAAAATCAAGTGTTTGTGATGGAATGTAGTGAAGGACATTTTTTCAGAGGAAACAAAAAGAGACAAAATAAAAGAAGGTGCCCACTTTTTCTTTATCTCTCAGTTTTATAACCTCTCTGAAGCTATTTTTCTATATGCTAGACCTTCTAAAGAATGAAGCTCAGTCCATTAATCCCCTCTTTGGCTTCACCGTCCCACATTTTTTCAGATAATCTTAGTTCTTGCTCAACGTAAGTTTTCTTACCTAATTCTAATACTGGTAACACATCCATACTCATCTACTCATCCAGTGGCTGGATGTGGTAGCCAGTCTCCAAGACGGCCCCCAATGTCCTTACCTCCCTGGTCTTCATGGCCTTGTGTGGTCCCCTCCCACACTGTATCAGGCTTGGCCCATTGACCAGCAGAATATGGCAAATGCAAAGGTGTGAGATTCCTGAGATTAGGGCATACAAGACATTGCACTTCATAACTTGCTCTCTGTTAGACTGCCTGCTCTGGGGGAAGCCAGCCACCGCAAAGTAAGAACACTGAAGAAGCCTATGGAGAGGCCCATGTGGAAAAGAACTGAGGCCTTCCCAGAGCCATGTGAGTGAACCACCACGAAGATAAATCTCCTAGCCCCAGTCACGCCTTTCAGTGACCGCAGCCCCAACTAACACTTGATTGCAAATTCGTGAGAGAACCCAAGCCAAAACTACCCAGCTAAGTCATTCTTAATGGGCTATTGCCCATTACTGGTGATAGTGAATGCAAGGAGCTTTCACAAGCGTTGCACTTTTTAGAAAAACTTAGTGGCTTAAAATAAATAATTATCTTCACGATTTTTAATGGGCAGGAATTCAGAAATGCCTTAACTGGGTAATTTTGGCATGGGTTCTCTCATATGAGTTTGCAATCAATTTGTGAGCTGGAGCTGCAGTCACCTAAAGGCGTGACTGGGGCTGGAGAATTTACCACCGTGGTGGCTCCCTCACATAGCTCTGGGCAGGAGGCCTTAGTTCCTTTCCATACGGGCCTAAACTACTGTGTATAAAATAGATAAGCAGCAAGGATATACTGTATAGCACAGGGAGTTATACCTATTGTCTTGTAATAACCTATAATGGAGTATAATCTGCAAAAATACTGAATCACTATGCTGTACACTTGAAACTATACTTCACACAACATTGTAAATCAACTATACTTCAATAAAAAAAGTTTAATTTGCAAGTGCACTTTAAGTTCGTAAAGAACAGTGAGCTCAGAGGCCTGCTTGGAGCGCCACCTGCTGGTAGTAAGAATAGCATCCCAAGCAGGCTGGAATAATTGGTGCTGATGCCAGTGCTAACCTGTAACACCTTTCCAAGGTAAACCCTGGCTTCCCATTCTATGTCTCTTCTGAGATCTAGCTTCTTCGATTCCTGGAGGTAACACCTGCTTCGGCTTATTCACAGAAATGCTGAAATGTGACATCCCTGAGCATCGAAAATCACATAACCGTATAAGGAGTTCTTATCATTCTTTCTAGCATCTTCTCTCTCCTGCTTTACCAACTCTTTTCTTTCTGCCTGCAAACATGCAAGTCTCCATTCATAGGGAAAAAGGGCAAATATCAAAAAACTTCACTGGATTTTTTTCCCCACATCACTGCTAAATCTTTCAAAGGCTTAGTCTGCCGCCCCCCCCCATATAATTTTCTTTTCCCCATTTTATTCATAGAATACCCCCCTCCCCAGAATGTTTTCTGGGTATCTCCATGGAAGTTAGATAAGAAATGAATAAAATGATCACCCAGAAGCAGAGGCCACTTTATGCTGGTTGGCATGATTTGACATTATTCCCATTTTACAGACAAAGAAACTGATGATTAGAAAGGGTTAAAAGGAAGGAAGCAAGCAAGTAATCCAGCCCAGAATTTTTTTTTTAATAATTAAAAATGGGGGGGGAGATAATTAGGGTTACTTATTTATTTTTATTTATTTTTAGAGGAGGTACCGGGGATTGAATCCAGGACAGTATGCATGCTAAGCATGCTCTACTACTTGAGCTATACCCTCCCCAAACCCAGAATTGTGTAGGGCCATCTATACAATTTGAGGGTCCCGGTGCAAGATGAAAACGTAGAGCTGCTTGTTCAGAAAGCAAGAAGAAAGTGCTGTTAAAGGTATTAAAAATATAAAGCCTCTTCCTTTCTGCTGTGGTCTCTTCTTCAACTTGCTATGGTAGTTTTGTTTTTGTTTTCTGTTTTTTTGCTATGTAATGTCGTTCTAAGTAAAGGAAAATTAAAATTTTGAATTAATGACATGAATTTTGCCATTCATCTTTGTATTATGCAATGTTGGTTTTAAATGAAAATGTAAGAGTATTTAATCTGTATGTAGAATCACTGAAATTATGTAACTCATATTTCATAGCTCTTGCATGCATATATATTTCATTCGTCCCAGAACAGTGGAAATACTGCACAAAACTAACTCAACTGTTTTTATTTTACTTCTTGATATGTGTGTATTCTACCAACACTCTCTACCTTTGCTTGCTGATGAATTAGGGAAGCCTGAAAGGAAAAGGAACGATGGGTTATCCCATCGTTCCCTTTCCTTCTCTGTCATCACATTTAGTGTAAGTAGTTGGCTAATGCAGGGTAGCAACAAGAACAAGAAAGAATATGATGATGTGGGGAATGGGGGGCATAGCTCAGTGGTAAAGCACATGCTTGACATGCACAAGGTCCTGGGTTCAATTCCCAGGGCCTCTGTTAAGGGAAAAATAAATAAATAAAAATATAATTTAAAAAAAGAAAGAATATGATGAGTTTCCTCGGTCATTTGCGTTTCTTTGAATACCTTCTGCATTCAAAAAGTTCTGGTTCCAATGGAAAATGTGGCCTCTAGGGGCTGTCAGCGCTCCTGCTTACTAAGTCATACACTTGACACACTCACGTTGAACTCGCTTGGAGTCTCACTCAGCTTCTGCACCTCATGGGTCCCCCGGAACACTGTGTTCATGGGGTGCTATGTATGCTCTATGGGAATGGGGTGGCAAGAAATGGTGAACATATGAATCACACACATCTCCGCTAATGCACATGCATGCTCCGTAGTCCCGTTAGACTTTGCTTATAAGACACAAGTTTGAAGATAAAATTATGAATAATTTCAAGACAGCAACAACAAAGAACTAAATTAAGTGTAGGGCCCTTCTGAGTGCCAGGCCCTGTGCCACTGCACAGTTTGCATGCCCATGACACCAGCTCTGGAGTAGCTAAGCCAGGAGAGAACTCATACCTGACCCCAAGGACAAGTCTCTTAACATATCACATGAAGTCTTCTCAAATAGCACTGGACAAGGCATTGGCAGAGCGACAAAGAATGTCAAGAAGATGAGAACGTTTTAAGAGGCCATATAATAGGTAACATTGAACTGCTGGCCTTGGCTCTAGGAAGGTTAGAGAGGTTCCTGAAGACATACAAGGACTGAGGACAGGAGGATGGGAAGGGGTAAAGGGTGTAAAATCTGGGAGGGGACTGGTAAGGAGGTAGAAGTGCTTGGAAGGAGATAGTTGTCAGAAGTATAGAACAGCCTGGTTACTTTCAGCAGACATACAGATTGTCAGGGGTTACGACCCAAAAATAAGTCAGTTCCCAAGGGTAGGGCAGACAATGTCCTAACCTCTAGACACTTGGGGAGCATTCATTTTGGCGGTCAGCATCTATAAGGTACTTTCAAAAATGGACAAGACCAGAAAGGTAGAGTATCAGGAGTCAAACAAATGATGCTAAAGTAGGGCAATCCTGGGACGCATCCCTCAGAAGGCCAGGCAGGAGGGTGAATGAAGAAGGCCTATGTGCAAACAGGTAGGAGCTAGTTACAAGTCTGAGGTGAGGGGACAGCCAAGATGGAGGCAGAGACCATGATCAAGAAACAGACCAGCAGTGGGAGTCATTGTTTAATGGGTACAGAGTTTTTGTTGTGAATGATGAAGAAGTTTGGGGTATAAATGGTGGTGATGGTTATACAACACTGTGGATGTACATAGTACCACTGATGTATACTTGTGAATAGTTACAATGATAAACATTGTATTATATGTATTTTTAAATATTATCTAAAAAAAGAAAAAAAGAAAGAGACTAGGGTATTAGGTTTACCAGACCAAGGAGAAGCCAGAGGTCTAAAGATTAGGATTAAGGTGTATATAATATGAGGAAGGAGAAATAGATGCCAAATCCCATATTACATGTACTCAGTATCTTAATAATATCCTGCCTCCAGAACACACAGAATCACTTCTGAGAGTTCTACATTTTTCCATTAGGAAAATCATACCTTGGGGGATGATGGATGGGATCTGGCTAGGGTAAGGGTAGGGGCTCTTGAAGACTTTTTCCTCTCCACTTTCTGAGGAGGAAGCAAAGCATCTTGAGTTGGACACCTCTGATGGCCTCTCCACTTGCCTGGGCAGGTTTCCTCATCTAAGCAGCTACTGTGCCAGGCCCTGGGGATGGATCCTGGAGCTGAGACCACAGCGATTCCGGCAAGGTGGAGAGTGGGTTCTTCCATGTGAGAGGGGCCCCTCACTCGAGGGCCCAGTTCATGGCTAAGGAGTACCTCAAGAGCGGTAAGGCTCTGGTTTAGGCACAGAATTGCCTTTTGGAATTCCCTCAGGGCCCTTGGAACCCCAGCCCCAGGTGCTGTGTGGTGGGATCTAGCTTCAAGTGTGCTTGGAGAGCCCAGCTTTCCTACTTCCTTTTAGGAGTCAAATCTTGGACCCTTATGAGTGGGAGTGCATCCAGCCATCCATGGCTTGGGGATGAGGGATGTGGTAGAGAGGGATGGGAATGGTGGGGGGTGAGGTGCTAGGATGAGATAGAGATCGTTGGGTTGTCTTTTGGGATTGAGAGAGATAAAAGATGGCTCGATCAGATGGAGAAGCTTGGCAGCTGGGATGAAATATAAAGGGAGTCAGGAGGGGGAAAGTGAGAGAATTGACATTTAGGTGTTCTTGCAGTCATCCATTCAACAAATGTTTACTGAGCACCTAAAATGTACCAGACACTGAGTTAGGGGCTGGGGCAGCAATGGGGAAGTAGATAAGGTACTCAAGGAGATTGGGTCTAGCACTGAAGACAGATCATCAAACAAGCAGTTACACAAAACTGTGATGAGTATTATGATGGGGGAACAAGGCAGGGCCAGTGAAGGAAAATTAGTTTATATTAATTAGAATTAGGTTCTGCTGTATATTACAGACAACCAAAATAACTGTTGCTTAAATGAGATAAACATTTATTTCTTTCACACATTAAAGAAGACCAAGGCTGGAATGGCAGCTCCATGTGTCATCAAAAGCAGGAGCTATTATCGTTTTGTTCCACTATGCTAATTTCCATCTTCAGTGTTACCTTGTGGTCCAAGGTGGCTGCTGGAGCTCCAACCATTGTTTCTGAATTGAGGGCTGCAAAAAAGAGGACAAAAAAGGGATCCGTTTCTCCCTTTTGAAAAGCCTTCCTAGAAGACCCATACAATTTACATTTCCTTGAGAGATTTGGGATTTGGCTGTACACAACTTCAAGAGAAACGGGGCAGAAATGTGGACAGCTAAAATTCAGGTTTTGATAATAAGGAGGAAAGAAATAATTAATGCTGGTTTGCAGTCTCTGAAACAAAGTGTTTTCATCTTTTCCATTTGATAATCATGAATATTGAGGATAGAATGCTTGAAGCATTTTGCTGAATTTTAGCAGAACTACCAAAGATTATTTTTGGAAGTGTAGAGTATTGTGTAGAGTATTCTCTTTTAAAAGAATACAGACTTCTTAGAGAAATTTATTTAAATATTTCACTTTAAGACTTTGACCTTGGGGAAAAAAGTGACAATTTCTGCCCACATGTACTCAACAAATGAGGATTTCAGATAAAGTATTTAGAAGAACATACTTTATGAAACATACTTACATTGTCATCCTGTGCATTTGTCTTTATTTAAAAATTCATTTTTGTTCAAGTTGTTTTCACATCCATAATCTTACTTGGGTTTTTATAACTCTAAACATGGTGTCTAAGATAAATGTTGAATTCAGAGAGATCAAGTGACTTGCTCAGAGCCAAACAGCCAAATGTGAGAGATTCTTGAGCTAGAATCCAAATCATGTATTTATTTGACAGATCTTTAGTGTGTACCAGTTGCTGAGGAAGCAAACGCAGCCACTCTCTCAGGGAGCTTCACTATGTGGACTCAGGAATCAGATTCTGCTACTAGTTACTTGACCTTAAGCAAATTGCTTAATTGCTTTGTCCCGCAGATTCCCTATTTATAAAGGAGGAGCAAGTAAAATACTCCATAGGGTTGTGGTGAGAATTAACAAATTAATTCTCATAAAAAGTTTAGGACAGAATCTGACCTTGAGTAACTCCTCAGTAATTGTTAGATATTGTAAGTGTGAGAGAAAGACATTAAGTAAATAAACATAGTTATGAGTGTGTAATGATAAACTTGAGATAAATGATTGGAAGGAAAGTAACAGTTCTATTAGAGCTTGGGCTTGGGGCCCATAGAAGATTCCTCGAAAAAATGGTTTCAAGTGGAGCCCTGAGAGATAAACTGGTATTAACTATGTGAGCATTCCAGACTGGAGTTTGGGATTTTAATTCCTGAATTCTTGAATTACACATTCATTTTAAACACACTGCTATTCTTAGCACAATTAACTCAAGACCAGTTTGGTGGTCTGGAGCATCTGGAATCAATTTTTTTTTTGTAGTAAAAAGAACATGGGCCTGGGAATCAAAAGACCAAAGTTCTAGTTTTGGCTCTGCCATCAATTGATGATTTTATCTGCCAACCTTCCTGTTTTCACAGAGGAGTAGCCTTCCATTCCTCACCTCTTTATTTTTTGTATTGAGGTGAAACTCACTAATATACAATGAACCATTTCAAAATGAACAATTCAGTGGTATTTCGTACACTGACCATGTTGTGCAACCTCTAACCTTTGTCTGTTCCAAAATATTTTCATCGCTCTAAACTGAAATCTCTTATACATTAAACAGGTACTCCACTCCCACCACTGGCAACCACCAGCCTACTTTGTGTTTCTATGGGTTTACCCAGGGAAGACTTTCTTCATCTTCCATCATTACCAACAAAAATTTGAACTTATCCTCACCAAAGCCTCCATTCAGCTTTCCTGATGATAGATTAGTCATATACAATTTGAGTCTTCTGTGTCTCTCCTCTTGCTCACCCTCTGAAACTTACAGCCTTTCCCACGGGAAGTGCTCAGAGCGCTCCACATTGAAGTGAAGTGAATTGTGTGCAGGGAGTTTTCCATCAGATTTCTCAGCCATTGATTCTACTGCCACACATTTACCTACTTACTCAAGTTCCTGGAGTTTTTGTGTTGGAGACTGTTCCTTTTAATTGACTCTTGTAACGTTGTTTATGGTCAGGAAATCATCTTCTTGCACCTGCAGTCGCAGCACATCAGCCACACACAGACCTGCAAGAGACAGCAGGGCACAGAAGTGTAGTAGGGGCTCCTAGAGAGCTTCATCTTCTCAAAAATTCTTACATTTTCTTTACTTTGTGGAAAAGAAAAACTATGATATTAAGTTTGCTTTTCCCCCTATATTCTCTCTTCTTGAAAGTTCTACTTAGTGGTGCTTATTTCCCTAATCAATGACATTGTAAACTGATTATATTTCAATAAAAAAATAAAAAAAATATTTTGAGAGTCTACCAGGGGCCAGCCCCTA